CACTCTTCCTGAATGATATCTTTGACATCCTCCCAGAACTCATCTGGTCTTCGCTCATTAGTGTTCAAGGCCTCAGTCTTTTAGATTATGTATTAATTTTCAAAATCATTTCTCCTGCTTTCTGCGTAGTACTCCATCATGTGATTGTACTACAATTTCTCAATCCTTTTGATTGTGGTTGGACATTTGGGCTGTTTCCATGTTCTTGCGATGGTGAATAATGCTGCCATGAACATTGGTGTACAAGGGTCTCTGCTTGTGCCTCAGTTCTAATTTTCTTGGGGTATATTCCGAGCAGTGGAATAGCTGGGTCATACGGAATTTCTGTGTTCAGCTTTCCAAAGTGATTGTACCATTTTACAATCCCATCAAGAGTGTATGAGAGTTCCAATCTCTCCACATATTCTCCAACATTTATTGCTTGCTGGCCTATTAAACTGCCACTGCTATTGGGGTGAGATGTATCTCATTGTGGTTTTGGTTTGTATCTCTCTTATTGCTAGTGATTTTGAGGATTTCTTCATGTTTCTGCTGGCCACTGGGATATCTTCCTCTGTGAAAAGTCTTTTGCCCATTCTGTAATTGGGTTATCAGTCTTTTCCTTCTGGAGGCATAGGAATATTCTGTACTGCCAGATGTTTTTTTTCCCAGTCAGTAGGTTTTCTTTTGACCTTGTAGAAAAAATTTTGCTGTGCATAAGGATTTTAATCTTTAGAAGGGCCATTCACCAATTTGGTCCTCTCCAGATAGTGCATTTCTGGCTGTATTTGGCAGTCTCTTTACACCATAGCCTAGGTCTTTTAAGCTTGGTCCCAGTTTGTCTTTGATGAATTTTATGGTTTTGGGCTTTACTCCCAGATCTCATCCACCTTGAGTTTACTTTTGTGTATGGTGTGAGATGTGGATCATGTTTCAGTTTTCTGCAGGTGGAAGTCCAGTTTTGCCAGCACCATTTGTTGAAGAAATTGTCCTTGCCCCATTTGGTAGGTTCTCTTTCCTTGTTGATTATCAGTTGACCACAGATAAATAGGTCTATTTATGAGTTCTCGATTCTGTATACCTGTCATACCAATACAGTGCTGTTTTGGTTATTACTGCTCTGTAGTAGGTTTTGAGGTCAGGGACGCTATGCCTCCCACTTCCCTTCTGTTGAATAATTTTGAAAGGAACTCTAGGAAGCAGCATACTGGATCTCCTTATTTTTAAGATTAAGAAACTGAGGTCTGTGGAGGTGATAATGTATACTCCAAAAGACATGTTTTGAGTAGATAAAGGGGAGAAAAATCCTTTTTAGGAGCAATAAACTGTTGTTATGTGCCGTTGAGTCGCCTGTGACTCATAGCGACCCTGTGTACAAGAGCGCAAAACTCTGCTCTGTCTTGTGCCAGTCGCACTGTCTCCGACACACCCATCCCAATTACCCTAGTCACTGAATCAGTCTACCTCATAGAGGGCCTTCCCTTCCTGTGCTGTCCCTCCACTCTACGCAGCATGATTTCCCTCTCCAAGGGCTGGTCCTTCCTTACATGTCCAAAGTATGTTAGACGAAGCCTCATAATCCTTGCCTCCAAGGAGCTGCCCGGTTTAACCCTTGCCAGGATGAATCTGTTTGTTTTCCTAGCAGTCCATGGTACCCTCAGTACTCTTCTCCAGCACCACAGCTCAAAGGCATCAATTCTCCTTCTATCCTTCCTAGTCATTGTCCAGTTCTCTGACACATAACAAGTGATTGTGAAGACCATGGCCTGTATCAGACACACCTTAGTCTCTAGAGAGACATCATTGCTCTTCAGTACTTTGGAGCAGTCCCTAACAGCACACTTTCCCATTGCAATACGTCTTTTGATTTCCTGTTTACGGGTGCCAAGAGTGTTGACTGTGGAGCCAAGCAAACTAAAGCTGTGGACAATCTCAATCTCTTCACTGTCCATCCTGATGCTGCCAATTGGTCCAGTGGTGAGAGTCTTTGTCTTCTTGACATTGAGTCTCAATCCATATTGAAGGCTGCAGTCCTTGACCCTCTGCAGCAAGCTCTTCAGGTCCTCAGTTTCAGCAAGCAGGGTTGTGTCATCCGTGTAACGCAGATTGTTGATAGACCTTCCACCAATCCTGACTCCACATTTCAATAAGCTAGTATCTAATAAAAATTCATTTGGCTGAAAAGTTGGTAATATATGATAAGATAAATTAGTATATGTTAAAAATAGTTTCAGGCTATACCAAAGCTAAGTAAATTATTCCTATTTTCCCCAATATTTTTAAACAAATACTAGGCAGGTTTTTTCAATGCTGCCAGAGTAAATGTCTTCATAAAAAGATCTAAATATATTTTTTAAAATTTCATATATAGGGGAGCTCTGGTGGCCTAGTGGCAAGGAGCTGCAACTACAATCCCAGAGGCACACAGTTCGAATCCACCAGATGCTCTGCCGGGAAAAGGAGGGACAGTCTCCTCCTGTACCAGTCAGATCTGATTTGATGGTACACTCACACACACACACACACACACACACACACACACACACACACAAATTATATATATTGTTGTTATGTGCCATTGAGTCACTTGTAATTTATAGGGACCCTATGTATAACAGCTCTGAACCCTTCTGTTCTAAGCCAGCCTCATTGTCTGTGACACACCTACCCCCAACATTGAGTCAATCCATCTCATTGAGGGTCTTCCTCTCTTGCATTGTCCCTCCACCCCCCTAAGTGTGATGTCCCTCTCCAAGGACTGGTTCCCTCTTTGCGGCATACCCAGAGTAAATCAGATGGAGCTCCAGAATCCTTGCCTCCAAAGAGTAGCCTGGTTTCACCCTTTCTAGGATGAACCTGTTTGTTCTACCAGTCTATGGTATATTCAGTACTCTTCTCTAGCACCACAGCTCAATATAAAAATCTCATAATTATGTTTTTAAAAAACTTACTAAGTATTAAATTTAATTTTAAAAAACCAACTTACTAAGTAAGAGAATCCAATTTTAGAAAGGTAATAGGTAGAAGTTGTAGGAAGTCACTTTTGGGATTTCTCAAGTTTTTATTTGACTTTGTTAGTCATTGTAAAGGTTGTTTTGGTGGAAAGGAGATGACCAGAAACTATCCTAACATTTGAGTACACGTGTAGAGGCTGGTGAAAATAGTGAGTGGTGTAGTTATAGACTTAACTAGTCATCTGGTGTTGCAGTTGTCTCTACCTTTTCTTCCCAAAGAGTGGTATTATCTGGTAAGAATCAGGCCTAGTGTGTATATTTCTATGAAGGTAAAACCACATGAAAAGGGAATGAGATGATAGGCTTTTTCTCAGAAGCTTGTCATGACTTGAAATTTCTTCTAACTATGCTGACTTTGGTGGCTTGATAAACGATATGAGAACAAGTATGTTCTCAGCCTTGATTGTGTTGATAGGCTAAGCTTGGTATCCTTGTAGGTGCCTCTGCCCATCAGTGCCTTGTTAACACATGTCAGAATTAAGATGGGTACATGAGACTGTACCCTATTTGAGACTGTTTATTAAAGCACATTTCTGTGCATTGTAATATTGGTCCCGTTTCCTGGTTTTTATGTATCCTTGTCTCCATTGCTGTATTTTCCTGGTATAGTTACTTAGAGCTGTGAAAAAGATCAGCTTATGCTCTTTGTAGGAAGACTTAAGATTTTGGAAAACTAGAATGGTTCCTCTTCTCTCTTCGGTTATTAGTCCTTCATTTTATGGTTCTTGCTTATTCTTTTTTATTCTCGGTTATGAGTCCTTCATTTAATGGTTCTTGCTTGTTCTATTTTATTCTTCTTCATTGGTTATGGTATTGCACTTGTTTAATATTAAGCTAAGCAGATAATCGTGAGTTTTTCTTTTCCCAGCTGAAGACTTTGAATTAATAATATCTTCCAGGCTTCCCCCAGTGTGTGTCCTGTACAGTCTGTTCCCACAGCAGTTTTTAAGGAGATCCTACTCGGCTGTACAGCCGCAACTCCACCCAGTAAGGACCTCCGGCAGCAAAGCACTCCCCAGGCTGCCAATTCTCCACCTAACCTTGGTGCAAAAATTCCTCAAGGGTGAGTATTTCTTTGTTACTGATGTTTAATTATAATAAGTAGAAAAATTATGTTCATCATAGTTCTTCCTGTCTGAACTTGCTATTGCCCAGGTGCTAGTACTTTGTCGCACTCGGTGTTTTCAGAAACGAGAGAATTAATGTGAATTTAGTGTAATGATTCTTCAGCCTGCCTGCTGATCTACCTCAGATTAATCCAGGGAGATTCTGTTAGAGTTTTCATAAAGGACAGATTGATCAGCTGACTTCATGGAAAATGTGTAGTTGATAGACAAATCATTATGGAAAATGGTTCAGGAGTGAGAGGCTGTGAGAAAGGAGACGTTCTCTCGGTGGTGTAAAGGAGAGCCTGGTCACTTGAAATGCTAAGATGTCTGACATTTTGCGGTATAAGTTCCACTTTAAAGAATGGAGCAAATCGTTTCATATGGAAGACTTAAGTCAGTGAGAATGGTTGAAGGGGAGGTGTTAGGCATAGTGAGCAGTTCTCAACCAATAGACGTGCGTTGACTCCAGGCCCAGATGGGAAATGTAGTACAGGAGGTGTTATTGTAACTGAAGGAAGAAGCAGTCACAGTTGGAAGTATTGTTATTAACTTACAAATGAGAAAAATTAATGTGAAAGACAAAATTTAACCAGAGGTTTCAGATGGGTTCAGAGTTGAATGAATTTTAGGGGTAGGATATCTTTGGGGTGGAGTGATAGAAAGCCTGTATATAGGCAGTTGCTAAGGACTTAAGATAGCAGAGATTGCAGTCTAAAAAAGTAAGTTTAGTACCAAAAGGAGTGAGGGTGCCAGGTAGAATTGGTTCAACGAGGAGAAAAGTGGGCACCCTGAAACTGACTTGGGGGAGGGATGGCCATTGTAGCAGTCAAAGGGGGAAAAGGAGGAATATTGAGTTCATTGACATTTAAACAGATTTATTAAATGAACTCTTACTGCTTTTGGTAGGGATAAAAAAAAATATAATAGAGAAAAAAAGGACTATGTTTTGCTAATAAAGAACTCTTAAGATGAATTTCAGAGAAGCAAGAAGTCCACTGTGGCGCAGAAATACCAGGTTCTTCTTGCGTGACCAACATGTAGTTGATTGGCTGCTGTGTTTGCTTTGGGTCTGATCCCTAACCAAATAAGAAAAAAAAAACACCCATTGTCAGGGCTGGTTGTATGTTGTTCATAGTAGGACAGTTTCTTTCATACCACTGATGGTTGGTATTTTTGTATTAAAATACAATCATGGTAAAAGATATATAATAATAAAAAGGCCATGTTAGTAATGTTTAAGTGCATGGTTCAGTGATAATAATTACATTCATTGTGTTAAATAGTCCATTTTAAAAAGTTTTAATCACCCCAAACCGAAACCATGTAGCCCTTAAGCAGTAACTCTTATTCTTGTACACTCCCGATCTAGCCCCTGGACCACCAGTAAACTTTTCTCTTTGAGGTAATTCATATGATTGGGAGCGTATTAGTTCTCCTTTTGTGTCTGATGACTTTTGTTTAGCATAATGTTTCCAGGTTCATGTCAAAGCAAATACTATAATTTCATATTTCTTTACAACACAATACTATATTTCTCTATACATGTGCACACACACTTTATTGGTTGCTAGTTTTTTTTAATTTTCATTTTGTAAAAATTGCAGTCTTTGAGGGAATTTCTGACATTACTTACATGTAATTTTTTGAAAATTAATTTTATTTTAACACATTGACCTACCATGAGATTATATTTATTTCTGATTTATTAGACATAATCTTTAACAGAAAAGAAAGTTATAAAAATTTTTCTGGTGTTAAAAAAAGAAACTTTCAGACTTGAACTTGCAATACTAAAGTATTGCATTTTTAAAAAATCACTGTTCATGTGATAGTTTAGGAGGAAAGCAAAGATTTGTTTGTAAAAAGTACAACTAGCTTGAAGTTTGTAAAAATTAAAGAATATACAGATAAGTCTTTCTAAGAGTGATTGAGATATTTTTGCAGAACTGCTGATTGCTTTTAACTCTAGGTCACAGAGACCTATTTTAAAATAAGCAATTTCTCTTCAGCTTTCACACTGGTTGCCTTTGTGAATCACCAAACATTTGATGTTAAAAAGTAGATGAGAAATAAGGAGGCCTGGGTGCTCATATAATCTGTACCGTCTTTTTCAGGTGTCATAAACAGAGTTTACCAGAAGAACTTTCTTCCTGTCTGAATATGAATCCTGAGGTCCTGAGAACAAAGCCTGATGCCTACAAACCTGGGTTACTGCCTTCACAATTGGCCCAGATGGGAAATGGAGATGTGAAAATTCTGAGTGAGCCAAAAAATACCTGTACTCAGCTGAACACAGATGCTGATCAGGAAAACAGATTGGAACCCGCCCTTCAGCCTTCAGCTGGCCTTCAGAAGGAGTGCTTACCTACAGGGGCTGCTTCTAAAACAGAATTGGAATTTGCCAATATTCCTGAACTGCAGAAGAATCTAGACCATACACCTTCTACATCTGATATCTGTGTTGCTCTTCCAAGTCAGCCAGATGTCAAAACTGATGTTAACAGTGATGGCCCTAAGAATTGTGTGGAAAAGAAGGTAGAATCTTCACATTTAGGCTGCCAGTCACAGAATTTAAAGGACATGAAGAACCTAAAGGTAGATAATGAAAGCTGTTGTACAAGAAGCAACAATAAAATCCAGAATGGTGAGAATGTCTACATTCCATTATTGGGGGAAGATAATAGAAAGCAGTGTTTGTATATTTGTTTCTTAACTTAAAAGCAAAAGTATGAAAATGACCTTGTAAAAAAGGTTTAAGATGAAAATAAGATCCCAAATTTTTCAAAATTATTACTGTTAATGCTTTGTTGCATCTGGTCCCTTACATGTAGAAGTATAAATAAACTGTATTATGCAGATGCATTATATCCACACTTTAAATGTGGGTATAACGTATCCACAGTTTTAAAATAAATATTCTAGTTATAGGGAAAATGGAACACTGTTAAGTTTGTTTCCAATAGTTAGCTTTATTATTAGAATAAAAAAGTAGTCTTTTCATAGCTATTACAATTGAAAAAAATCTTTTGTTAATTGTCTTTAAGTGGAAAAATAGTATGGATTTTGATAATTTTTAAAATGCTTTATTTAGATGAGTAAAATAGAAATCTGTCCCTACTCCAGCTTTTGCTGCAGATGTCTCTGAACTAGAGGGCAAGATGTGTGGGCTGATGGTGTGGTGGATCTTTTGGTGTATGTTGGAGGAATGGCAGAGGAACTTTTTCCTTCACACTGACGCTTCTAACCCAGCACCTTCATTCTTTTGGCTTAACAAACAAATTTAACTCTTCTACTGTTTAGGATGCTGAGAGTCCAAATTCAAATGGCTGATTCTGGGGAGGGCTTTTTCTCAGTGTTGGTTTTTGATAGGTCCTTGTGTGCATCAGCATCTGTGCACCCAGAATTCCTGAGGGCTTTCATGAACATCTCTTGGCTCAAGATTTTTCTCAGTGCACGGACCCAGGGCCAAAAGATTTGCTCCACTTATGGCTCTTCTGTTTGGCTGATGACTGAGATTGTCCCCAAGCCTTTTCACTCCTGAGACTTAAGTTTTGGTTATTCACTGTCACCAGGGCTCCTAAGACTCCTTAGTTCATTTATATAAAATAGATTATTTTTCAAAGAGAAGAGCTCTGGTGGGGAGGGGTGGGCAGGAAGAAAAGTGCAACAATGAATGAATGGAAATCCAAAGTCTCTGTAAATTTTCATTGTAATTAATAATAATAACAACTAATAAATAGATTACTTAATATTACAGTGTTCTTCAAGAGCTACGTAACTTCCCAAAAGACAGTGACTGTTTATAACCCTGTCTCTGCTCTTTTTGAGTCATCAGCCTTCATATTCAACTAATTTTAAACCAATTACTTCAATGTTAATTCAAAGAAATAGTAAAAGCGTGAATTGAGAAGCACGTTCTAGGTACATAAGTGCGTTACTGAGAACAGCTTTGCCTCACTTAATATGTGCTGTCATTTTCCATCTAAAATGATGTTAAGTGAAATTAAAAAACTTGTTGCATCCTGGTGTGTGCCACCTGTTATAACTTTACCTGAAGGGTGGGGTGTGACCAAAAGCCCACCAGCATCTGCTCTATTGTTTGCACTAGTATTGTGTGTGGGTTCAAAGAGACGTAGCTGGAAAACTGTTAGATGTTAGAGACAAAAGCACACTTGAGCCAAGCAGTCTTTTTTTCTGGATATATGTTCTCTGAGGAGAAGCAGGCACTATTTTTCTCTACTTGACTGCTCTGGATTAAGAGAATCATTGATGGGACCAGCTATTGCTTTTCTCAGAAAAACTAGATTCAGGTAATCCCGCTTTCTTATTTCTAGAACATTTTCTCGGGCAGAACAGATAGAGCCTTTAGGTGCTACCTGTAGTCTAGAAACTGATACAGCTCTTCAGTATCAGAGTAATTGAAACTCCTACTTTTCTGTTCATTTTTTTCTTACTTAACCCTTGCTTTCTCCAGCTGAGGAAGGCAGTTGATGGTGATAAAAGCCAGCAATCATCATTTAGCCTTTTTACAGTGCACTTGAGTCCTGTTTTGTAAGGAGGCAAGATGAGGTCACCTGAGGAGGTTACTGAAAATGTGTATTTGATTGCGGTCTGTCGCCTAGTTTTCTCTTGATTATTTCCTTAGAAGTTGCTTAGTTGAATTGTTTGCCTATGAGTACATTTTCCTCTTGGCTCTCTTGGAGAAACAAAACCAACCCTCTTTTGTCTGTGAAGCTCTCGATTTATGAGTCTGTTCTGTGCTGTTTGGGTTGACACAGAAAAATAATTCTTTACTATTATATTCCTTCTTTTCCTCTTTATTTTTTAACAAAAAATTTTATTAACCTTTCCTCTTATTTTTCTGCTCATTATAAATTTAAGTGCAAACCAATCATGTTATTAGAATTAGAACCTTATCATTCTCCAGGACTATTATAATCCCAAGTGGAACGCAGTTGTATGACATTCAGAAGACACCATGTGTTTTTTTAAATACAGTTTGTGTAAAGAAGCCTTTGGTTAGCTTTTGCCGGTGCTTCAAAAAACACTAGCAGCCCATTTGCTTAAAAGCAAAAGGAAGGAAGCAGAATCAGTTCTGCTGAGGTGAAACTGTCTCTGTGCATAACTAATGTTAAAAGTAAGTTTAAACTAAGTGGCTAATTTGAGGAAGTCTTTCCCAAATATTGAATATGTCTGGGTTTGGGAATACTGACTTGAAATTATGAGTCTGGCTGTTGAATTTGCAGGTTTAAATTGGCAAATAGATTGACTGTTCTGTTAGGCTTCTTTCGTTAAAGCCATTGTTAGCAATTGCACTTGAATCAGAGTGAAAGGGAGTGCTCACTTTGTGAAAACAAAAAGAATTTAAAAAAAAGCCCCAACAACTCAATCTAGTATTGAGTAATAGATTTCACACATCTGAGGTCTGCTTCCTTGGCCCATATTTCCCAGGCCCGGCCCGGAAGTCTGTTTTGACAGACCCAGCCAAACTCAAGAAGCTCCAGCAGAGTGGGGAGGCATTTGTGCAGGATGACTCCTGTGTGAACATCGTCGCTCAGCTGCCCAAGTGCAGAGAGTGCCGCCTCGACAGTCTTCGCAAGGACAAGGAGCAGCAGAAAGACTCACCTGTATTCTGTCGCTTCTTTCACTTCAGGAGGTGAGACCTTTGAGCTCTGTCGTATCCTCCCTCCCCTTCAATCACTAAATCTAGAACTCAAACAGTCAGCACTGTGTTTTAATCTGCGATTTGAGATCTAGGCTTTACTGTATATTATTTCCTTCTAATCCTCCTTTCCAGTATTTCTTTTTACACAAAGAAGGTAAGTAAACACTATTTCTAAAAGTAATGAACTTTACCAAACAGAGCAGGAGATTTGGAAAATAAAATAACCACAGTAACAACTCTAACTTTTCCTTGTATTTTTAGTGTTCTAATAATGGTCATAAAATGTGTCCATTATGTCTAGTTTGGTACATCATTAGTACATAGGAAGTTAGCACTGCAAGTGCCCACAGGTGGCACCTCTGGCAGTTGGAATCTACTGGCTTCTCCTCAGGAAAAAGCTGGGATGTCTCCTCCCTTTGAATTTACAGCCTTACACACCAGCTGTAAGGTCAGTTTGACAGCAATGAGATGACATTACATATTCTGCTTTGAATCTGACTTTCCTGGTACATAGAAAACATTTGATCATGTTAACATTTATTTTTCATCAAAATACTTTTGGATAATTATATAAAAAGCCCATCTTCCTAGTATTTGATAGTCATTGAATCAGTTTCTTTGTTATTTGTTTCATTTATGTTTTAGGGTATGGTTTGTGTTTTCAAACTAGATCTAGCAGTGTTGTAAACATTTTAATTTAAATTTTTTAATTTTCTTAATTTCCAGAAGATCTGTTTTGTTTTGGTTTTTTATTCATTTTTTAAAAATTATTATTGCTTTGTGTGTGTGTACCATCAAATTGGATCTGACTAGTACAGGAGGAGATTATCCCTCCTCCAGCAGACCATCTTATAGATTCGAACCGCACACCTCTGGGATTGCAGTTTAGCTTCTTGCCACTAGGCTACCAGAGCTCCCCTTAGAAGATCTGTTTTATATCCCGGAAGATTCCCCCTCCCCAATCTTTGTTGACCCTTTTTTACTGTTAGAAATGTGCAGGAATGATCATTCCATTGTCCTCAGCTTGGATTATTTACTTTGGATGCATGATTAGAGGTGACATTACTGGATCAATAGGTGGGCCTTATAAGGTGGCGTTGCAAGTATTCTACCAAATTTCCCTCCAAGGAGGTGGCTCTGACAAGGTGCCCGCATGGCTTGTACCTTCCCACACTGAGAGTCTTTTTGCCTTTTAAACAAAAAAAAAAAGGAAGAAAGAAAGAAAAAACCACTTCCAACTTGCTGAGCAAAAATGTTCACATTTATGTTCCTTTTTTTTTTCCATGAAGTCAACCTAATATTCCTTCAGTTTTTCTATCTTAGTAAGAAAAAGCTTCTGTTTAATTGAGCACTCACTGTTGGTCTGGGTACCGATTCACTGTCTCAGAAAATGGCATGGTTTGAGAGTTGCCTGTGTTTTGGTGTCCTCAAGTTGGCTCCTACTCACAGGACCCTGTGTACCACAGTATGAAGCCTCGTCCTGCACCATTCTCACAGTGGTGGCTCTGTTTGAGCCCATTGTTGCAACCTCTGTGTCAGTCCATGTGGTTGATGGCCTTCTTGTTTTTCACTGACCCTTTACCAAACTGTGTCCTCCAGGGATTTGTCCCTCCTGATAGTTCCAACATAAACAGAGGTGTCAAATGTTATTTCTTCTTGTTATCCATCCTACTATTTATTTGAATTGAGTTAAAAATGAGTGGGAGCTGAATTAAATGCACAGATGTTTCAGACCGTTAATTATATATGTCCTGAGAGTTCAGAGTTGGGTTGCTTGTTTAGTTTTGGTTTGTGGGGTTTGGGTTTTTTTAAAAAAAAATCTTTTATTTGAAGGATTTTTATCTTCATTAAGAATCTTATAAATTTTGGGGATTCAGGTTCACTTACTGAAGTATAGTTTTTTATCAGCATGTTTATTTAGTCCCACGTAAATAGTAAAAGTACTATGTAAAGTGTATGTGTGTAACATTTAAGAGTTCTCATAACTGTGAGAGAGGGAGAGAGAATGTTTTGGCGTAGAATAACTGGGAGAGTTCTTTCACAAAGTAGAGTGTTTCAAGATGTGTGTGTCTTTGCGCACATGTACATATAAACATTTTTCTTTTCCATTGCCCCCAGGTTAAAGTTCAACAAGCACGGTGTGCTGCGGGTAGAAGGCTTCTTAACACCAAACAAATATGACGTTGAAGCAATTGGCCTATGGCTACCTTTGATCAAAAATGTGGTGGGGACGGATTTAGACACAGCAAAATATATTCTGGCCAACATTGGAGACCACTTCTGTCAGATGGTGATTTCTGAGAAGGAAGCCATGTCGACAATTGAGCCACACAGTAAGAGCATCTCTTCGGGGGTAGGAGTTTTGAGTCCAGCTTGATTTCTGTTCCTCATGCTCACAGAAAAGTATAGGTTGTATACACACAGTATAATGAAGTCACTTTTTCCCCCCTCATTTGATTTCATTAGTTAATTGACCACCTGTAAGTGAGGCAATTTGCAAAGGAGTAGAACTTTTTTTTTTTTTTTTTAAGGAAAGTTTAAGGTGAGGTAGTGGTGCAATCTGCCCAGCTTCACCAGCAGCACAGACTTAGCTAAAAGGGGCGAGGTTTTCGTTATTTTAAGACAGGGGTTTTGTCAGGGATACATGTTAGAGAAAGCGGGGTGGACTCCACCCTAGATCTGCTGAATCGGAGCCCACAGGGCTGAGTCACACACAAGCACCATAGTGTGAGATATAAAGGATTGTTGAAGTTTAAACCAAGCATTAGTTGAGTTAGTGTGGCGTGGGGATGTGTCCCTTAGCTTGAGAGCCTTTTCATTGTTGAGCTGGCTCTCTGGTACACAACAAAGATCAATGTGAGTGACACTTCAGAGCTGATGAGCATGACTTGTCCTCTTGCTGCTGTGGAAACAAGATGTCCAGCAGATGCTCTAGGGTAACTGTGGCATCAGTAAGTGACCCATGGTGTTACAGCCGCACCCTGATGGCTCACGGATCACCTCCTGTGCCAGATCACCCAGAATCCTTTGTTCATTTTCCATTTTAGTAGTTTTGTTGTTATATGCCATGGAGTCACCTGTGACTCATACCAACCCTGTGTACATGAGCTCTGAAACCTGCCCTATCCTGAGCCAACCTCATCGTCTTCTGACAGACCTAATCCCAATTCCCCAGTCAGTGACTCAGTACATCTCATCTGGGGTCTTCCTCTTATGCTTTGTACTTCCACCCTTCCAAGCATGATATCCGTCTCCAAGAACTGGTCTTTTGGTCATGTGCCAAAGTATGTGAGATGGAGCCTGAGAATCCTTGCCTCTGGGAGCAGCATGGTTTCACCCTCTCTAAGAATAAGTGATAAATGAGGTGGCTTAGTGGTAGGGAGTGATGCTTTCAACTCAGAGGCATGGAGTTAAAATCCAGAGTCTCCTGCAGTGCAATTAACTGCTTCTGGAAACCCACTGGAGATTCAGCTATAAGTTGGCTGTAACTTGATGATGGTATATAACAGCAACAGTGTGTGATAAATATAGTTGTCAATATTGTGAACATTTGTCAGATTATTTTGTGAAATCTTTTCTATGTTAAACCACAACTGAATAGAAGCCTTTTAAAAGTCTTTTCCTTTAATTCCTACTTCATTTTCTAAAGAGTTTTTTGGTATAGATTCACCAGATCTAATTACTATAACACTGTCGCTAAAACAGGAGATAGTTTTCCAAACCCAGCTACAAAAGTGCAGGCAGCAAGGGAAATAACAGGTGCTCATAACACATGCAGACATAGCTGCATGATCCAGAATACTGGTGTGCTCTGACCAGAGTACATGAAAAGGCTTTACCAGAAAATTAGGGGGCAGCTGGGCATAGAAAAATTATTTGTGTTGTTAAAGGTAACTACAAGGATATTTCTTTTAAAAAGAAAATAAATTTCCATTGAAACATTGCAATGTAAAGTGAAATGTGAATTCTTCCTGTGCCTCTGGTGTATACCTTTCCAGATTTTGCATGATTAAAATGTTTCTACTCACACATCCCAGTCGTGATTAAGGAGTTTGGATGCAAGTCCCTGAACTTGTATAAGCACTGGTTCCTGGATGGGAACACTTTATAGTACACGGGATGTTCACCCCCTGTTCTGACAACAGCTGACTTCTGCTATCTGCAGGGCAGGTTGCTTGGAAACGAGCCGTCAAAGGCGTTCGAGAGATGTGTGATGTGTGCGACACAACCATCTTCAACTTGCACTGGGTTTGTCCTCGGTGCGGGTTTGGCGTGTGTGTAGATTGCTACCGGATGAAGAAGAAGAACTGCCAAACAAGTAAGAAATGTCCTGGTGCTTTTCCTGCCCTCTCAGGCTCTTCAGCCTGTGGTGAATCTGCAGTAGGTGGGTTTCCAAGGCAGTCGGGACAGGAGTCCGTGGAGAGAATCCACTGCACATGGGTTCTTTGCAGGTGCGGCCTACAAGACCTTCTCTTGGATAAGGTGTGTGAAGAGTCAGATTCATGAGCCAGAGAACTTGATGCCCACACAGATTATTCCTGGAAAAGGTATTTGTATGCTTGGCTTTGTGTAGTGATTAAAATTGTCAACCTGAGGCTTTTGAATTATAATCTTGTCAGTAGTTTTTTATCAGGAAAGTAAAGTGGTGGGGTGGGGTGAGGGGGATATGCACCTTTAACAGGATAAAAAGGAGAGCAAGAAAGCACCAGGCCCCAGAAGAAATCTTGTTGTGAAATCCGCTTCTCCTCCATCATGTGCTCCCGGGGTTTACTTACACCGTTTCTCTTTTCCCAGCCCTCTATGATGTTGGAGACATTGTTCATTCTGTGCGAGCAAAATGGGGGATAAAGGCAAACTGTCCCTGTTCAAACAGGCAGTTCAAGCTCTACTCAAAGCCAGCCTCCAAGGAAGACATAAAACAGGTATTGCTGCTTCTGCTGGATTTTCTAGCCTTGTGATTGCTGTCTGCTTTTTCTTCTGAGACTATTTGAAAGGAACATGGGCACACTTATCAGTGGAAAGAGAATTCATATGATGGGTTGTTTCTTCTCCTCCTTTCATGTTTCTTTTGTGAATCTCACTTTGGTTTCTTTGGGTGTTACTAAAATTTAGTTTACTTCCTGAAGAACTGACCTTCAATTATTATCTAATTAATAAATTGCTTTCAATTCTTATAATTTTTAAAATTTTGCATTTTCAGAGTTCAAGTGATTAAGGTAAGTTTTATTTTGTAAACTATATGATATCTGAAGAGTTGAAGGAGAGTTATGATGTACTGTGTGTGTGTGTGTGTGTGTGTGTGTGTGTGTGTGTGTGTGAGTGTACCGTCAAATCAGATCTGACTGGTACAGGAGGAGATTGTCCCTCCTTCCCTGGCAGAGCATCTGGTGGATTCGAACCGTGTGTCTCTGGGATTGTAGTTGCAGCTCCTTGCCACTAGGCCACCAGAGCTCCCCTTGAGAGTTATGATGTACTTTTATGTACTTGTTACCCAGCATGAAAAATGGACATTTCCATGGCGTGTGTGTGTGTGTGTGTGTGTGTGTGTTTTCCTGGTGATTTGTCCTGCCTCTCATCCCTGTAAACACTACCCTGCTTTGTATTTAATGATCTGAAATTCTTAATCATCTTCATTGAGCTATGATGTGGAAGGCAGTGTGGAGGGTGATGCAGGTTGTGATCTCTAAAATCAGAATTGAATTATTTTTCTACTTTTGTTGTGCAACCTTCAGTTGAATACAAGGCTTTATTTGTGTTTCAACTTCCTATAATAATAATAATACAACACTAATAATGCTAGTTGAACACCATGGAATTCTGTTAGGTGGAAAGTGGGAGCAGTGCTGGCCCAAAAGAAGAATATAATTGTGTTTCCTCCTTCTCTTGCTTGTGTAGACTTACCAACTGAGTTTCTCAGGCAGGTTTTTAAAGCAACAGGAAAATAGGTGGTATGCTTTTTGCTGCTTCCTCCCACCCTCGTTTAAAGTTTTCTTTTTCTTTTCTATTATTAATTTTAATGAAGGTTTACAGAGACTTTGGATTTCCATTAATTCATTGTTGCACTTTTCTCCCTACCCATCCTCCTTGCTCAGTTCACTCTTTTCTTTGAAAAGTAAAGAAAAATTCTTTCATTGTTATACAGTCCCTCCCCCTAAGTCCACTCCACTATGCAGCCTTCATTCTGGACTCCTGTCATGAAAATAATACCTAATCATATATCCCTTTTAAACAGTTTTCTCCCTTTTCTGTGTCAGTGCAGTATACTTTATTTAACTGTTCTCTCTCCGTCTCCCCTCAACCTCGATGTCAGTCCCGTTTTAAAACAATGGCCCTATGCAATATTTGTCCTTTTGTGACTGAGATCTTTCACTCAGCATAATGTTCTCCAGGGTCATCCATTTTATTGCATGAGATCCTTGTTTTTCAATGCAGCGTAGTATTCCATTGTGTGAATATACTACAGCTTCTCTGTCCATTTGTTGATGGACACTTAGGTTGTTTCCAGCTCTCTGCTATTGTGAACAAAGCTGTGATAAACATGGGTGTGCATATATCTGTTTAGGTCACAGTTACGGTTTTTTGGGGTATATTCCCAGTAAGTGTAACTGCTGTGTCAAATGGTATTTCTATTTGCAACTTTTTGAGAAAGCGCCATACAGCCTCCCATAGTGGTTGCACCATTTTACACTGCCACCAACAGTGAATAAGGGCTCCAGTTTCTCCACAATATTGCTAGCTTTTGTTGTTTGTGTTTAAAGTTTTCTATAAGAATTATTGGTCTTCAAAACAACTATGAGATATCATCTCACCCCAGTAAGAATAGCAACATTTAACAGAATAGCAAGCAACAAATGCTGGCGAGGATGTGGAGAAACTGGAACTCTTATTCACTGTTGGGAATGTAAGATGGTGCAACCATTGTGGTGGAAGGCGGTGTGGTGCTTTCTCAAAAAATTGCAAATAGAGATACCATTTGACCCAGCAATCCCATTACTGGGAGTATACCCCAGAGAGACCATAACTGACATCCAAGCAGATATATGCACACCCATGCTTATTGCAGCTTTGTTTACAATAGCAAAGAGTTGGAAGCAACTTAAGTGCCCATCAACAAACGAATGGATAGAGAAGCTGTGGTATATTCACACAGTGGAATACTATGCTGCATTGAAAAACAAGGAACTCATGCAATATTATTCAAAATGGGTGACCCTGGAGGACATTATGCTGAGTGAAATATCTCAGTCACA